GCGGCTCTCTCGGTCGGTGGGGTTTCACGACCCCGCCGCGACCGGCATCTGTCAGACAGGCTGCTCTAGAGGTGGTCCCGGCTGGAAGCCATAGCGACACCCTATAGCTATAGGAGAAACAGGCCAGAGAACAGGCTCAGACTTTCATTTTCTAGCCCAGGCCTTATTAGGAAAACGGTCTGCCATAAGAACACCTCTCCTCTTGGGCATAATTCCCACATTCCCAAAACAAACATTTAACCTTCCTTTCTTGAGTAGATGTTCTCAGACTACCGTTTGACACTAATTTCTTCCTCAGTGACAACATGAACTCCTGAGCATTTGTTGGCAATATCAAAGTGGGGTTGTTCACAATTGCCCTGTCAAAATTAAACACTGGTGTTTTGCTTTTCCAAACTGTTACGCTTTCAGCAGAGTCCTGTTCTGGGACCTGCAATCGTCATTCTAGGCCACCCCAGCAGCTATAGCAAAACCATTCCTGAAGCTGTCAGGTCATCTGCACAGAGCGGCCATAGGTCAGAGGAGCTTTGTCAGGATAGATATGCGCTGCCCAGGACAGACACTGCACCTCTGTTACCAACCCTTTCATTCATCGTCCTATATGCACATCAAATTCTGAAATTTAAATGTTGCCACCCTCTTGTCCTTCCCTTGCATGATACCAGGATCTGGATGGTCCTATGTATTTATATGGGTTTGTCAGTTCAATTCCTGTTCACTGGAATTAAGTTTCCACTGATAAAACCCGCATAATTCTTATCTTCTGTGATAGCGTCACAGAGGTAAATACTGTCACTAACAAAGAACTTAAGTATTACTCAGCCAGTTTCCTAGGAGTTCGTGATGGAGGGTTTCCAGACAACAAGAACTCTGCTTAAACAACTCCTGTCTGCGCAGGCAGTTTACATTCACTAAGTAATATTACAAGCAGACAACAATTTTAAAACCAATCTAGCCAGCTATTTAAATTACTGTAATAGCACACTGACCAACTGTTCTTTGCAGTTACCAGTTGTGTTCTTAGGTAAAACAAGGTTACCTTTGTTTAGAAAGTGAAAGGATGGAGAATATAGACAACAGAACAGTAGTGTACATGACAAAAGATGTACTATGAAGGACTCTGACAGAGGATTGTTTTGAGATCTTTTAGCTGTTTAACTGGAATTTTTTAATTTTTTTTTTTTTTTTAGCCAGCCTATCAAAATTTGAGGCAGAAAGTAGACAACTTTGTATCGACCCACCTGGACAAACAGGAATGGAATCCAGCAATGAATAAAAACCAGTTACGAAATGGGCTAAGGCAGAGTGTGATTCAGTAAGTAAGCAACATTCTGTAAATAATGGTAATGCTATTTGATAAGTAACATATAACTGTCTTATCACCTAAGTCAAATAAGAATTTGCAGAATTAAGTTTTTCACAACACTTTCTGTTGTGCTCTCCTGAGTTTCATTATAATAGTGGATGCAGTCTTAACTCTCATTAAAATGCTTACATTACTGCTTTACCTGAAATTTGTATTTTCATGAGTTGGGCAGCATGGTGAAGGACTCATATTCGCTATCTAGCCAAGTTATTGCTGCAAATAACCAAAACTGTGCCTGCTAGCAAAACTGTGCCTGATGTGCTGAGCTGAATGGCCTTGATCTTTTATTTTCAGAAAAGAGAAGAGCCTACATCGCTTAAAGAAAAAATCCTGAAGATGCCAAAGCGTGTTTAAGTAGACTCCGACCACTAGCAGGCAGTAATCAGACTGGGCTAGCCTGATTTCATGCAGCAGAGGGTAGCTTTTGTACAGCTATTTAAGGTAGTACATTTCCAGCATGACAGGAAAGCCAGCTTAAACTATGCTGCTTAGAGATTTAGGTTTAGTATCTCTTGCTGATAACTCATTGCAGTCTGAAGCACAAGCCTTAGCTTGTTTGACTAAAAGTCATGGATAAAAACTTTATAGTAAAGGTTGTGGGGAGAGGGGCAGTAGGGAACTTGATAATGGCATTTATGCTTATAAGGAAAGCTATTAGAATGTCTCGCACACAGAAGAAACTGTATTTCAGAACACTTGATAGAACCTGTAAATCATTAGTATGTAACATTAGTTTCTCTAATCTGTAATTAGAGAAGGGGGTGTCCACTAGAAGTACAGAATTTCCTGTCTTTACTTGGAGTCCTTGAGATGTGTTTGTCAATGCTTCCTCTTATTTCACGTTACTCTACCACTAGAATGAAGCGGACAATTGAAAATTGTTATATCAGAGAGCCTGTAATGAGAAGAATGTAAAGTGCTCCCTTTAAGTAGGCTATTAGTATAAAGAATAGACACACAGTATTAGGGAGTTTGAAGAGTCCCCATCACTCCTGTAGTTGCCAGACTGAGCGCTGAGGGTGTCAAGATGCATATGTCCTTTGCTGCATGCACGTATATGTGTGCTGTTACCTGGAGGTGACATGATGTGCCATGAGCCTGCACCCACTCGCTCACCAGCATTCACGGCCTTATTAGTCTTGTGGCTACTTTTCCGAGCGCCAGGCAACGTCTCCATTTCCTGTCCCCCGCTCCCTTGCAGACATGACTTAAGCCTGCTAGACAGCCTGTGCCCCACAATCCAAGAGTCTGACGCAGCCCCTGAAGTAATAAGTCACTTCAATTACTAGTGTTCAGTTCCAGAAACTTTGCTGTGTGCTACATGTACTTGTTTTTATAATTAATACCCATCTGTCTAGACTTAACAGTTATAAGTAGTGAGCGACAGTAATGTTATTAGGGGGAAGGCCTCTTCTCCCTCAAGTCAGCCAAAAAAAAGACTCTGCTCTCACCTGCCCTCCTCCTCAGAATAGCTTGTTTCCCTTGTTTGTGCCAAAACGTGTTTGTTTGCTTTCATGTTGACCTCATTTCCACATATGCCCTATTAAAGTGGCTCTTGTCCAACATGTCATTTAAGTACCTGGGAGACCAGATATCAGTTGTTAATTCTGTAGGGAGACGTAAGAGGGAGTGGGGGGAAATAGGTGATTGAAACAACTCCCTGTTAAGGATCTACTGAGTGTGCTGCAGTTCTCACCATGTTAATGCTAATTGCAGTTGACAGGAGGGCTCTGGAGAATTACTGGAGGAGATTGGGGAGAAGTTTTTCAGAGGAGCTGAATGACTCCTTTGTCTTTGTTCAAGGTCAGGAATGCTGGAAGCTGGAGTGGACAGAATTATTTCTCAGGTGGTGGATCCAAAACTAAACCACATCTTCAGGCCCCAGATAGAGAGGGCGATTCATGAATTTTTGGCTGCACAAAAGAAAGAGGAAAGTGTGCCAGCTCCTCCTCCAGAGCCTGAGAATAAGGATCCTCCTGCTCCATCTCAGGATGCCTCCTAAAGGTCTTGTATCTCTGCACTTACTACTTACATTTTTCATGTACCTCATCTCTGTAGTTTGTATAATGCAAGACAGAGAAGACATTGTATTCTTCCTGGCTTGACAGGGAGGACACTTTGATCATCAGCATGTTGTCAATGTCAGACAGTCATCTGAGCTGCTTCCACTTAAGTGTCTGCTAAAAATATGTTAGGACTGAAGACATAGGTATGATGTAAAACAGCTATCAAGGAACACCGTGGACTCTGCCAGTGCTGGTTTTGGATCAGGCCAAAAGGCCTTTTATTCCTGTAAAAGCATATCCAGCAGTGATTGACATGGAATTGGCTGGATAGGTTTCAGAACAATATCAAATGGATTAAAAATATATATCCTTTACTGAAATACAGCTGAAAGTAGAGTGGTGACAAGTTATTGTGCTTTAGCATTGAAAGTTTTAGATAGCTCTTCTTTAGAACATACACTGGAGTGTTGAATTGTTAGTGACTGAAATGTTCACTGCTGGAGTAAGGGTAGTGTCTCTGGGAGTGAAGAACTGTTCATTCCAAATTGACTGGTTTAAATAGAGCAACCTATATCTTTCCAGCTGAAAGGACTGAGGGTGCCTTTGTTGCAAACAAGTTCATTCTGGCTTTTGTGATTAAAATAACTCAAGGGGCCTCAGGGGGCTATAATTGCTACTCTGTCTTAACACAAATGACTGTGCACCCATCTCTGCTAAGGCCCTTTATCTTAATGTTGATTTGAATATTGAAGCCTGTGTGCACATTACTGAGGAATCACTATCTTGATGGAAAATTTCAATCTGCAGCTTTGCTGGGGAACTTAAAACCATACTGCATGAAAGGAAGTTAATTGTGAATTGTTCTATCTGCTAGAGCTTTCTGAAAGCAAAAATTTTCCTTATAATCTACAGCTGATTTATTAAGAAGGATTAAGTAACCTACAATAGCTGTTCTTATCCTTGGAATTATTAGATCAATTAGCATGACTTTTAATTTAATAGTAGAAGTTAAACTGCCTGTAGTATCATCCTGAGTTATTTAGTTATCTGTGACTTGCAGCCTTAATGCCTTGCATTTGTCCGGTTCAAGTAGTTTAAAGTCCATTACAACCTGCAGCTAAGTGCAGCTGTTAATTAATATAGTCTAATCTATTCTCTATTCAAATGCATTTACTCGTGAAGGTACCATCCTCTAAACTCTCTTTTTTTTTTTTCCTTGCAGTGAGTTCCTGATACTAAGCAGCTGCAGTTGCAAAATATGTGTCCTGTTAGATTGGCAATGGATTACTTGTTCCATTTGGTGCAGGACTGCTGTCTGCCAAAGATGATTAACCTTTATCAGACCTGTGGGAAGGCATTGAAATCAGTGAAATTCAGATGCACCCAGAGTCCTGCGTGTGGAGGGAGAGCCAAAATGTGAAGATATTTTTGCTATTAACAGCAATACAGAGAGCATCGCGTATTCTTGTTAGCCATGGCTTCAGGCAAGGGGGTGGGAAGAAAAAGGGAGTTGGCTCTTGTCCGGAGGGGGCAGGGAAGTGGTTTGAGATGATACTGGACTTGGGAGCAGGAAGAAAAGAAAGACGTTTTGGCAGGTGGGGTAGTCTCTTGGAGACCAAGTAAGAGCTGACAGATTTTCTTTGATATACGCCAGATGAGAGGAAGCATCATACACCTCTGCTGCATAACACAGCATTGAGTAGTAGGTGCCAAGTCAGGTGTAACTCATTGCACTGCCTGCTTTAGGAAAGACATTTCCTGTTTAAAACTGGAAAGAACACTTCAGGATCAATTATCTAGATAATTTCTGTTGCATTGCAGGAAAATGTTTACAGTTGGCTATGACTATAGCTGATTTAATTCTTACTTCCTAGGTAACTCTGGGAAGCAAAGGGCACCAGAGTAGGTGATCAGTTTGAAACTTGTCTCTTTCAACTTGAAAGACTTTTCTTTCCCATGAAATTTCTCAGGTGCCTAGTGGAAACTGTCCTATGCTTTCAGCTTGAATGCATGCAGTGTCCTCTGGATGACAGTCAAGTAGAGAATGTGATCAAATATTCTGCCAGCAAATGTCCATACCTTTTGCAATAAAAGACTTCAAAGAGCATCTCTGACTCCTAGCTTCTTCAGAAAAAACTACTTTAAAGAAATCCAGGAGTCCTGATTGCTGGAACATTAGTGGAAGTGTGACCTCGCACAGTTCATAGATTAATCCAGGTCTGACAACAGGGGGTTGTTAGTAGAAGTTATCATGAAATAAGATGGATATTAGTATTCCAAATTAGTGTAAGGTCTCTCTCAAAAAATCCAAAGTGTCAAAGAACTGAACTGACCTTACCTCACATCATTTATGAGGTATAAATCCTGAGTAAGTTCAGTCTGGTGCTAGTGATGGTGAAGGCACGTTCAACCTTGTGAAAACAATGCACTTCTGGCAATAGGCTAGAGCTATTCCATTTTTTTCCTTTCAGATAGCAATCTTAAGAAGCGAATAACTGCCTATGTCATTGAATAGCACTTAATAATGTTTGAATCCTTGCTACTCATGGGCTACATACCTCAACTACAGCCTTGCCGATACACCTTGTATGTGAAGAGATGCAATTCCAGCTATACTCTGCTCCCTTTTCAAAACAGGTAATTTGTAGGGAAGATTGATGCTGTGGTTTAATCTTGTAGCTAACTTACTTTGCTTAGTACCTCCTCTCAACACAGTTCCTTGCAGAAATGGAGATGACAGAACATCTGGTATTTTAAACCCTTTACAAGAGAGCTCTGTGAACTTCACCACTGCAGTAAGTTTGCACTCTGCACAGTGCTGTATAGTTCTGCTGATATGCAATTCTTCCGTCAATATTTTTTTTATCCTATTTAAGAGTGTTCCTCTCAGAACGGGAACTTAAATACCTGTACTTTTTAGTGGTAACTATATTGGCCGCAACCTTCCTGATACGGTTTGAAAAATCTGTGTTTTGGGATAATCTGGTTGTGTGGCTTGACTCCCGCTGTTACATAGTCTGTGTTCCTGCTATAAAACAGGTCAAGGGGTACGTGAGGAAAGAGTTCTCCTCTGCATGTTGATTTGGTGGTTAAAGACTACTCTCCAAATCAGTAGTAGGTGTTTTCCCTTAGAGCCTAAGGGCAGCTCTTGGCAGGAAAAGATCCATCTTTTACCTCCTGGTAGGGTGTCTCCACCACTTTTTTGAAACTGAGCCATTTATGCAGGGGGAAAAAAAAAAGTTCAAGAGTCTAGAAGGAGAGCAAATGAAAAGGATTCTAACTGCTGAGAAAAGTCTGGATTACAGCAGTAGTAGTTAGGGAGCAGGGATAGCAGGGATGCCAGTTCAGTTTTAAAAAGTAGTAAGTAGAGCTGGATTTATTGCAGTGAAGAGGGAATCTAAACCTGTGTTCCCTACCTCTGACAAGTGCTCTAACAGCTGAGTGAAGGAGCATAGATTCAGCCACCACAGTTTTTAAAAGGTTTTTCCATTGTTGTGTCTTTGAATGTGGTGCTGTGTTAAACTCTGAACACTAACGCTGTGCCACTGCTGTGCATGTGTAGGGCTATGCCTTCAGCTGGTCTCGGCCTATGCACAGTGCATGACTGCAATGACTATGGGAACTTTCAGACCAGAACTGAGGCACCTAATGAGATTAGGCAGCCGATCCACGTTTGGGATCATAGTCTTTAACGTCCGGGCTCTAAAGTCCCTGCTTTGGATCAGAGCCTTGGAAGTAACAAGCTTTGGAAGCATACTTACATCTAATGGGACAGTGAGAAAAACCACCAAGTCCTTACCATGATGAAGGAATGGTAGGTAGTGCCCCCCTTGACTGGGGTACATTTCTCCCTGGCAATTGATAGAAACAGGATTCCAGCCTTTGTAACTCAATGATATTATAGAAATCTTCACACCAGAACAAAAGAACAAGTTTTTACCTACTGTAGAAGTGAAATTGTTCCCTTGTGTAGTAGGATGTCAGACTAAAGTTAGCGATGTAAACCGACTAATATGCTGTGCTGGATATGTTAAATACAGTCTAGAGTCCGGTGAGGTGGGGAGGTCTAAGACACCTGAATAATTCAAGAAGCAGTTAGATGCCTTTGTGGAGCTGAAGGGGCAGGGCCGTACATTAGGAGGATGAGCCTCAGTGATCAAATGGCCTTCTCGTTGATCTCCGAGTCCTTCTCACATTCAAGTTGACTGTTCCTGTTTCCTGGACAGTCATTTAGTGCCTTGAATTTTCTTTCTCAGATGACTACATTCATGCTTTTAATAAATTTCAAGAGATTGCACCATTTCTTCATCTGATATACTAATAATGTGAAGGAGCTTAAACGATTTTCTGCCTCCTTGGCTTTGCCTGTCCCAACCATGTGCATTCGTTTCTGCCCAGTCACAAGAGACCAGCTGCAGTTTAAAGAAAACATGCAGGGAGTTTGCATTGCATTCTTGGAAAACCAGCCTTGCCACTCCGTGGCTGCTCTGCCCTGTGGAAATGCCGGAGTCCAAAGCCTGCAGGAGCCAGCCTGGCTCAGTAGGTAGGTACTAGATTAGGACCTAGGAGGTACAAGTTCTCTGCAGAGTCCTGTTAGCCCACAGCCACGCCTGTGGCTAGTTGTTTTACCTGTTTGCTTGCCTGTAAAGTGAAGATAACTTTACCCTCCTACGTAAGTCCTGGAGTGGGGAGGAAGTCAGGTGCTATAGTTAGGCCCTATACAATGAAAACACAGAATTAAAGGAATGCATACATCAGTATACAGACACACTGGTAAGTTGTGATATACTGTACAGGTTTTAAGGATTAGACATTATAGCTGAAGTCCCATGAAGTCATCTTGAAATCCACATCTTGCTGGCCAGACTAGGGGTTTTAATTATGCCATTTAGTGTCAGATCGTGATTTCAGAATTAGAAGCAGAGGGACTGAACTATGAACCAATGAACCCAGTTTCACAAGCCCTATGAAGGAAGAAAAAAACCTACCCGAACCCACAAACCTATCTAGAAGGATTGCATTGCCATGCATCAGTCAATCATCCCAGCACTTATCAATCACAGCCAAGTGGCATATAAGGCAGTGCCTGAAATTCTAGCTGTTGCTTGGCTATTAAAGGAATTATCACACATCCCATATGATTAAAATACAGTAAAGCAAAAAACCACCCTGATCTTAAGGTGGGGGGGAAGAAGAAGGGAGAGCAGGGTGCCACTGATGATGGCCACCCGAAAAGCCGTGAGCAGATGTCAGCACTCTCCCCTCCAGCACTGCCTCAGCTGCTTGCACTTTCCTGGGCTGCCTTTGGGGTTGATGAATCACTGGTCACTTAAGGCAGACAAGCCAGAGCACAAGGAAGTGGGTTATATTAATTAACTTTCGCCAGCTGACCCTTCTGGCAAAAGCAGGCTTGAGAAATTAGTCTGGACACCAACTGTATGGCCCAGGTTTCTGCAGCTTTCCTGCAGAGTTGGGTGTCCTGGAGGGTTTATAACCTACATATCCAAGTCTCAGCAAAACAGAAAATGCTGCTGTCCTGCACTCCGGATAACCCAAAACTCCACTGGATACATAATTCTTAAAATTTTCACAGACATTGAACTCTAATGTTCTTTAGTCAAAGACAAGTATAATCAGGTTCTCTTAAGTGAACCAACTAAATTTACAGTCTTACTAAAGAAAATAGAGAAGAAGAAGGGGAGGCTTTCTTAGTTGTTCTGTAAGTGAACCAACTAAATTTACAGTCTTACTAGAGAAGAAGAAGGGGTTGTTCTGGGAGTTCTCATATCGTGCAGACATCTCAGTTCAAGCGTTACTTGCAGCACTGCAGAACTTTTCTTACTTTCCCACCATCTGTTTTCCCTTCATGTCAAAACCTGAACTGAAGCCTCCATCTCAGTTCAAGCGTTACTTGCAGCACTTTTCTTACTTTCCCTACTTTCCCACCATCTGTTTTCCCTTCTTCATGTCAAAACCTGAACTGAAGCCTTACAACAGTTCCGATGTTTTTTTCCTTTGACAGTGTCCCAAATGCTGTAATGTTAGGAAAACTGAGAGCAGAAATCCATTGCCTTTCCCCCATTATTCCTGAAAAATGTACATGTAACGCATACCACCAAACACACAAAGCAATCTAGGTGGAATCACAGTGATGTTATTTTTATGAACATACATATTTTAGTCCAAGAGAAACTTAATTACAAGTACTGAACGGGAGTTAAGTGATGAATAATGTGTTTATAACTTTCTTGAAGTAAAACTGATTCTTGCTATAAATGATTAATAGGCATTTTATGACTTTTTTTTTTGGCAACTTCTCATGCAAGTGTTACATAAAGTAAATGGATGCTTCCCCAGACACTCGCTATGTAGCTGTTCTGTGACAATGACTCCAGAGATGCTTCTTCCAATTTAACCTGAAACAGATTACCAACAGAGCAAGATAGTCACTGCAGCTCCTGACCACCTTAACAAGACCAGTTTCACCTGAGCCTGGATTTTGGACATATGCATTCTTCTAGCGTTTTTGGAACTGCAAAGAAGGCTCTTGAGCAGGTCATTTGGTTCAGGCTCAATACTACAGTATTAATTTAACATCAACAGTTCAAGAGACATCTCACCATCAGGTAGCAATGCTGCTAAGTGACGTCGAAAAAGTAACTCACTGAGCAAAGACTCAAGCCCAACCAGTTCTCTGCCCTCATCAGCTACTTTACTAACTAGCATCTAGTCCATTGGCAAGTCAGACACTGACTCAAGTAGACTTCACCAAAAGAAGCAGAACCAAAATTGCCATTATATATTTAGCCTCTGCCTAAACCGGCCAGTATTTTCCAGAGACAGTTCTTCCGTTTGTAACCACATCCCATCTTAGAGTTAGCACGATGTCTCTGTCTGGTAGAGCTGAACCCAACCCAAGTCTCCAGATCAATCCCTGAGTAACTGCAAGCAGGTTTGTTAGATCAGACCCCTGTAACTAAACACCTGAACCCAAGCATATCTGGTGAAGGGAGGACAGCCAAATGGGAAAGAGTAGCATGTTAAAAAAATCCCTCATCTTTGGTTTCTTCCCTCATTGGTACCCAGGCCTTACTCATCCCTAAAGT